CTTTTCTTTTCTTTTTTTTCTTTTTTTTTTTTTTCTTTTCTTTCTTTTTGAGACAGAGTCTGGGTTTTCTTGCCCTGGCGTAGAGTGAGTGCCGTGGTGTCAGCCTAGCTCACAGCAACCTCATACTCTGGGCTCAAGCCATCCTGCCTGCCTCAGGCCTCCCGAGTAGCTGGGACTACAGGCATGTGCCACCATGCCTGGCTAATTTTTTCTATATATATTAGTTGGCCATTAAGTTACTTTCTATTTATAGTAGTGAGAGACGGGGGTCTTGCTCTTGCTCAGGCTGGTTTTGAACTCCTGACCTCGAGCAATCTGCCCACCTCGGCCTCCCAGGGTGCTAGGATTTCAGGCGTGAGCCACTGCACCTGGCCTAAGAGCTCTTTTTATATTAAGAGAATTGATTCTTTGTCATATATTTTACAAATAGTTTTTTCTGGCTTATTGTTTATCTTTAAGTTTGCTTATGGTATCTTTTGACATACAGATATTTAATATTTAGGGGATGATAAACCATATTAATTAAATTCTTTATAGTAACTGCCTTGGGATCCTGCTTAGGGTAGTCCATGATTTTATATGTATTGCTTTTAATTACATAGCACATTCTGTAAGAGCACAGACTATAGAGCTAGGCTCTTTGGATTTGAATACTGATTCTACCAATTAACTAAGTGTGTTGATCTTGCCAGTTACTTAACCCCCTGTGCCATAAGTTCCTTATCTTAAAAATGAGGGTAAAAATATCGTCTGTTAGGCAAAAAAAAAAAAAAATGTTTCCCGATATTGCCAAGTGTCTCCTAGGAAGCAAATTCACCCCTGGTTGACAGCCACTACAATGTATGAGCATAGTGCTAAGGACTACTGAAGGAGGAAGTGATTCATCTCTTGCAGGAGTTGGGAAAGCCACTCACCTTTGGAGAAGTGGTCATTTTTTAAAATCATTAACTATGCCTGTTTCTGTTTCTTAATTCTGTCTCTTATTTGAGCTTATTAAGAGATGATTCATCCATTTATTAATCATCTATATTGCAGATACTCTGCTGGGCACTGAATAAAATGAGTAAAACTGCCCTTGGAGAGCTTACGTTCTAAGGGTATGAGGTTAGACAGGATTTCGTAATGACTTGGATGTGAGATGTGAGAGAAAATGAGAAGTTGGGATGATTCCAAAAATTTTGGCCTGAGAAGTGGGTAAATTGTGGTGCCATTTATTAATTAGAGGAGGAATAGTTGTATTCGTATGGGACAGAGAGAAATAAGAGTTCTGTTTGAAAAAAAAAAAAAAGAGTTCTGTTTGGACATGTTAAATTTGAGTTGTCCACTGTAGCCAAAGGTAGATGCCTATCAACCAATTGAAAAGATGCCACCTATATCAGGAAAGAGGTTGAAGTATGTTGCTTACGATCAAAGGAGCCACTATTAAGTTGATAGTCCTTTTGTTCTGAGGAACCGAAATAAAGAAGAAAAGTCTTAGAAAATGTTAGAGCTGACTCATATATCCCTATGGTTCTTGCCAATACTATTTATTATAATTTAATTGGCATAGAACAAAGTAAAATGGAAGTTAGATAATTAAAGCCAAAGTCTCTACTTTTTTCTTAATAATTTAGGTCATGTGGGAATCATTGTTGCTGGGAATATGTCTGGAATAATATATTTCTTCTCACATTTCTGGAACATTTGCAACTGGCTGTTTTTTAATAAAAAAAAATTAATTAAAAGGGTATGTAGGCATGTATGAAAGAGACTTGGTGATCTTATTATGGCTTATGCATGAAGCAGTTGCTGATGCTGAAACTATAAAAGTGAATCTGTGAATTCACTATTATTTTTTCTGAAAGATCTATATCTATACATATAGGTGTATATATGGAAATATCTTTGCTCTTCCTTGAATCCTTCTGATACATCTTGGAAGATTATCTTTTGTGTAAGTGGGATCCTGAGAATTAGGAAATGCATCTTAATTTTAAAATAAAATAGCAAAAAATGGAAACTATGGAAATGATACGGGCATAGGGAAAACTTTTTGGCTAAAGTTTACAGGTGATTACAGGAATATCTTTTTGTTTGAAGAAGTTAAAGGTGTTGGCTGCAGCCTTGTTGGGAGGTTGGTGATGATAATCTTCATAATAGACACATGTCCTTTGTGTTGGGAAGCATAGTCTTACATAAGTCTTGGAGGAGTGTGAAACAAGGGAGGCTTATAACATATTTCAAGGGAATAAAAGCATTTTGGGCTGGGCATGGTGGCTCACGCCTGTAAGCCTAGCACTCTGGGAGGCCAACGTGGGAGGATCACTCAAGGTCAGGAGTTTGAAACTAGCCTGAGCAAGATCGAGACCCCCGTCTCTACTAAAAATGGAAAGAAATTAATTGGCCAACTAAAAAATATATATATACAAAAAATTAGCCGGGCATGGTGGCGCATGCCTGTAGTCCCAGCTACTTGGGATACTGAGGCAGGAGGATCACTTGAGCCCAGGAGATTGAGGTTGCTGTGAGCTAGGCTGACGCCATGGCACTTACTCTAGCCTGGCCAACAAAGTGAGACTCTGTCTCAAAAAAAAAAAAAAAAAAAGCGTTCTGTTATTTATAACACATTGATTGTTTTGTCTGTTGAACAGATAACATGCCTGGATATTTCCAGTGGAGGAGGCCTTGGTGTATCTTCTAGTACTGATGGGAGCATGAAGATTTGGCAGGCTTCCAATGGAGAACTCAGAGTAAAGGATTTGGATATACTTTTAGGGTATTACACATGAAGGGTGGTCTGAGAAACCTTGGCCTGGGACATGGAAGAATGGCCCATTCTGAAAATGTAGGACCATTGTACTTCATTTGATTTCTGTTCTCCCATTTGATAATCAGAGAACCATTCTCAAGCTTAGTGAATTGCCAGAACAGAGTGGGGCTGAAGCAGTTGAGGAGCCAGGCCAGTGAAATTCTCAGTGGGTATGCCCTGAGTTTGTACTGTCTTGGGTGATTGGTTTCCAAGACAGAATAGCTAGACTGTTAGGCTGACTATATGCTGAGCCTCCAACTTATACAGAGGATTTTAAGAAGAGATGAGTAAAAGATTCCTTAAAGCCTTCTCAGCTCCTTATACTTAGAACTAACACTAGGGATGGCTGTGAAAGCCATGGAATTCAATTCTACATCTGTAACTAAATCCCAGGAAAGGGAGTCAATAGCTCTTACCTGGTTGACAAATGAACTAAGAGATCCTTTTGGACATCCTTAGTTGTTATTAAAACCCAGCATGTGGGTATAGCATGTAGGTATTGCATCAAGAGGCCAAAGATATGGGAGGTGAGAGAACATCAAGGGATGGACAAGAGAACTAGTATGGAATTTTCTTTTGTTTTTCCAGAGAATATTGGAAGGACATGTGTTTGATGTGAATTGTTGCAGGTTTTTCCCATCAGGCCTTGTGGTTCTGAGTGGGGGAATGGATGCCCAGCTAAAGATCTGGTCAGCTGAAGATGCTAGCTGTGTGGTGACCTTCAAAGGTCACAAAGGAGGTATGAAGGGTGATTTCTCTAAAAGGCTTTTCTAATGATCCCCAGAGATAAAGCACCAAAAAGGTAGAAATAGGCTGAAGCGGGAGGATTGCTTGAGGCCAAGAGTTCGAGACCAGCCTGAGCAAGAGGGAGACCCCGTCTCTACTATAAATAGAAAGAAATTAATTGGCCAACTAATATAGATAGAAAAAAATTAGCTGGGCATGGTGGTGCATGCCTGTAGTCCCAGCTACTTGGGAGGCTGAGATAGGATGATTGCTTGAGCTCAGGAGTTTGAGACCAGCCTGAACAAGAATGAGACCTCGGCCGGGCGCTGTGGCTCACGCCTGTAATCCTAGCTCTTGGGAGGCCGAGGCGGGCGGATTGCTCGAGGTCAGGAGTTCAAAACCACCCTGAGCGAGACCCCGTCTCTACTAAAAATAGAAAGAAATTAATTGGCCAACTAATATAGATAGAAAAAAATTAGCTGAGCATGGTAGTGCTTGCCTGTAATCCCAGCTACTTGGGAGGCTGAGACAGGAGGATTACTTGAGCCCAGGAGTTGCAGTGAGCTATGATCATGCTACAGCACTCCAGCCTGGGCAACAGAGACTCTATCTTAAGAAAAAAAGGTAGGCCAGGCGCGGTGGCTCACGCCTGTAATCCTAGCTCTCTGGGAGGCCGAGGCGGGAGGATCGTTTGAGCTCAGGAGTTTGAGACCAGCCTGAACAAGAATGAGACCTCATCTCCACTAAAAATAGAAAAATTAGCTGGGCATCATGGTGTGCACCTGTAGTCCCAGCTACTCAGGAGGCTGAGGCAGGAGGATTGCTTGAGCCCAGGAGTTGGAGGCTGCAGTGAGCTATGATGATGCCACTGCACTCTACCCAAGGTGACAGAGTGAGACTCTATCTCAAACAAAAACAAATAGCATATTAAAAATTATTTTTAAAAAAGTTTAAGAAAATATAAAATTGCAGCAAAACATGTGGGCTCCATAGATCTGTTTCCAAGGGAAAGACAATTTTAAAAATCTTGTCTCTAGTGGCCTCTATCCAGTGGCTCTGTAATTGGGAGAATTACATTTTATTCATCCAACAACTATTGTCAGTTATATAAATTGGATTTGGTTTTTACTTTATTTTATTTTTTTGAGATAGGATCTTGCTCTGTTGCTCAGGCTGGAGTGTGGTAGTATGATCATAGCTCACTGTAGCCTCAAACTCCTGGATTCAACTGATCCTACCACTTAAGTCTCCTGAGTAGCTCGGACTACAGGCATGCACCACCATGCCTGGCTCATTTCTCTTATTTTTTCTAGAGATGGGATCTAAGTATGTTGCCCAGACTCGTCACAACTTCTGGGCTCAAGCAATCCTTCCACCTTGGCTTCCCAAAGTGCTGGGATTACAGGTGTGAGCCACTGTTCCTGGTCTGTTTTTATTTTAAATTGGAGCTATTTGGAAAGTTAATGATATAATGATTAGGTCCCATCTGAGTTGATTATTATTATTTTTTTCTTTACTTCAGTGAATGCAAACTGAGTTGCTTTTATTTTTTATTTTTATTTTTTTACTGAATTGCTTTTAATCATATTTTCCCAGACAGACCCTAAATTGACTACTTTTTAAAGTTATGGCATTTTCATAAACTCATGCTTTTCTGAACAAAGGCTTTCAAAATGAAATTTCCAATAAGAATTGAGAGGCATGTGGTTAATTGCATTGGATTGTCACCTGTATGTTATGTTGAGTTGCTGTGGAGTTTTTGTCAAAGTTTATATAGCTGAAGTCATTTCATCTTAGAAGAAATGGGTGGGAATATGTTAAAGATCACTAATTAGCTAAGTGACCTTTGATCAGATACTCTTAATTATTGGGCACCTATTATAGGGTCTGTTAAATGGGTTTTAATAAAATAAATAGTAGCCCTGCCTGGATCACAAAATGGTTGTGCTGCTTTCTATTCTGTACAACCCTGTTATTACACCTATGCCACTGTGTTGTAGGTCTTTATGTCTATGATTATCTCTGTCTTTTTATGCTGTGTGTTCCTGAGGCTAGAGATTATAGTGAATATTAGATGATGGCTAATAAAGGGCTTCAAAAATGATAAAATCCATGGACATTTTGGGTATTACGTTGTAATACTCTGGATCTTAATTCTGTCATCTCTTTTAGTAGGCAATCCCCTGTTGAGGTATGAGTAGAGGCTGGATAGATGTGAATGTTCAGCTTCCTACTGGGCTTCTCTGATACTACCCTGACAAAAGTAGAGCACTAACTCACACTGCCTCATTGCAGATAGGTGAGGTGGAAGTTTAGCTTCCCCTTTGGTCCTGTTGACACCTTCTTGGTGAAAGTAGGACATGGACTTGCACCACCTCATTGCCTCCTATTGGAGTTATAAACTCAGTTCCCTGCTGACTCACACCAGGAGAGAGGTTGGGGGAAGTGGAGTGCTACCTCCTACCATCTTGTCCTACCTCTTTCTGCCTATGGCTGCCAAGGCAGAGTGGAGGTTCAACTCTCCTCTGGACCCTGCTGACAGTATTAGCCTAGTCAACCCCACTGGGGAATTGGAGTGCTGCTGCCTGCTTTCATGGGGGTAGAAGACCACTTCCTGTTCAGCTCTCCCGAAACCACAGGGGAGGGGGAGAAGCAGTTTTTCTGCTTGTGTCTACTAGAGTAGGGTGGGTGTGGCCAAGATTTGTATTCTGTGAGGCCACTTCTTTCCCAATCTTTTGGCTATGGTCAACAGACTTGTCTGGTAGTTTTTTGTTTGTTTGTTTTTGTTTTAATCTGTGCTTATCGGCAGTTCCATATTGGAGGTTTCTGCCGTGTCCTGTCCAAGACAGATGGGAGGCTGTAAGGAAATCCAAGGAACTCATTGCCATGTTCTTTGAGTCCTGAGGTCCCTAGGTAGTCCGCTATCTTCTTCTCATCAGAGTCTTCCTTTGCTTCCTATGTTCGTGTTTTTTCAGTTATGAAGGGAAGGATCTGGGAGCAGTGGGGCTACTCAAACTTGGCCAGGGCCAAAAGTCACATCCTTTTTTCAGAATGAGAGGCTAACCTTTTTAATCATTTTGCAGTGGAACCAGCAGGATCTCTGAAGGCAGTGATTTTCAAACTGAAGTCTCTAAGATGTCTACTTAATTTTTATTTAAAAAAAGAACGGGAGGGCTGGGCATGGTGGCTCACGCCTGTAAGCCTAGCACTCTGGGAGGCCAACGTGGGAGGATCACTCAAGGTCAGGAGTTTGAATACAGCCTGAGCAAATCGAGACCCCCGCTCTACTAAAAAGGAAAGAAATTAATTGGCCAACTAAAAATTATATATATATATATATATATATATATATATATATATATATATATATATATAAAATTATCTGGCATGGTGGCACATGCCCTGTATTCCCAGCTATTCAGGAGGTGAGGCGGAAGGATTGCTGATCGATTCACTCACTTTATTGGTTGAGTATCTCTCATCTTATGTTATCTGTATTATATATATATTATATATTATATTTTTTGTTAATATATTTAATAATCAGCATTTATGTTGTTGTCTGTTGAGTGGTGCAGAAGAGGTGTGTGTGTTGTGAAGAAGGGCGGTGTTCGGTGCTCGGGGCGCGTCGTAATGTGGGAGAGACAGGAGAGTGGCCTCCAACTTATACAGACGGATATTTAAGAAGAGATGAGTAAAGGATTCCTTAAAGCCTTCCTCAAGCTCCTTATACTTTAGAACTAACACTAGGGAGGCTGTGGAAAGCCATGGAATTCAAATGTCTACATCTGTAACAAATTCCCAGGAAAGGGAGTCAAATAACTCTTAACCGCTGGTTGACAAATGAACTAAGAGATCCTTTTGGACATAACCTTAGTTGTTATTAAAACCCAGCAATGTGGCGTAAGCATAGTGCGTATTGCATCAGGAGGCCAAAGATATGGGATGGTGAGAGAACATCAATGGGATGGACAAGAGAACTAGTATGAATTTTCTTTTGTTTTCCAGAAGAATAATTGGAAAGGACATGTGTTTGATTGAATTGGTTCAGGTTTTTCCATTCACTTGTGGTTCTGTAGTGGGGAATGCGATGCCCAGCTAAATCTGGTCAGCTGAAGATTGTAGCTGGATGTGGTGAACCTTCAAAGGTCACAAAAGGAGTGATGAAGGGGTGATTTCTCTAAAAGGCCTTTTCTAATGATCCCCCAGAGATAAAGCACCAAAAACAGGTAGAAATAGGCTGAAGCGGGAGGTTGGCTTGGAGGCCAAGAGTTCGAGACAGCCTGAGGCAAGAGGGGAGACCCCATATCTATAAAAAAAGAGAAAAATAGCTGAGCATGGTAGTGCTTGCCTGTAATCCCAGCTACTTGGGAGGCTGAGACACGGAGGATTACTGGAGCCCCAGGAGTTGCCAGTGAGCTATTGATCATGCCTACAGCACTCCAGCTGGGCAAAAGAGTGAGACTCTATCTTAGAAAAAAAGGTAGGCCAGCGCGGTGGCTCACGCCTGTGAATCCTAGCTCCTGGGAGCGCCGAGGCGGTGAGGATCGGTTTTGAGCTCAGGAGTCGCAAAACCACGCTGGAGCAAGAGCGGAGATCCCGTCTCTACGTATAAATAGAAAGAAATTAATTGGCCAACTAATATAGATAGAAAAAATTAGCTGGGCATGGTGGTGCATGCCTGGTAGTCCCAGCTACTTGGGAGGCTGAGGATAGGATGGATTCGCTTGAGCTCTAGGAGTTTGAGGACCAGGCCTGAACAAGAATGAGACCTCATCTCCACTAAAAATAGAAAATTTAGTCTGGGCATCATGGTGGTGCACCTGTATCCCAGCCTACTCAGGAGGCTGAGGCAGGAGGATTGCTTGAGCCCAGGAGTTGGAGCTGCAGTGAGCTACGATGATGCCACTGCACTCTATCCCAAGTGACAGAGTGAGACTCTATCTCAAACAAAAACAAATAGCATATTAAAATTATTTTTAAAAAAAGTTTAAGAAAATATAAATTCAGCAAAACATGTGGGCTCCATAGATCTGTTTCCAAGGGAAAGACAATTTTAAAAACTTGTCTCTAGTGGCCTCTATCAGCTGGCTCTGTAATTGGAGAATTACATTTTATTCATCCAACAACTATTGTCAGTTATATAAATTGGATTTGGTTTTTACTTTATTTTATTTTTTGAGATAGATCTTGCTCTGTTGCTCAGGCTGGAGTGTGGTAGTATGATCATAGCTCACTGTAGGCCAAATCCTGCGATCAAAGGATCCTCCCACTTAAGGTCTCCTGAGTTAGCTCGGACTAAGGCATGCACCACCATGCCTGGCTCATTTCTCTTTTTTCTAGAGATGTGGATCTAAGTATTTGCCCAGACTCGTCACAACTTCTGGGCTCAAGCAATCCTTCACCTGGCTTCCCAAAGTGCTGGATTACAGGTTGAGCCACTGTTCCTGGTCTGTTTTATTTTAAATTGGAACTATTTGGAAAGTTAATGATATAATGATTATCCCATCTGAGTTATTATTATTATTTTTTCTTTTACTTCAGTGAATGCAAACTGAGTTGTTTATTTTTATTTTATTTTTTACTGAATTGCTTTTAATCCTATTTTCCCAGACAGACCTAAATTGACTACTTTTTAAGTTATGGCATTTCATAAACTCATGCTTTTCTGAAACAAAGGCTTTCAAATGAAATTTCCAATAAGAATTGAGAGCATGTGTTAATTGCATTGGATTGTCACCTGTATGTTATGTTTGAGTTGCTGTGGAGTTTTTGTCAAGTTTATATAGCTGAAGTCATTTCATCTTAGAAGAATGGGTGGGAATATGTTAAAGATCACTAGTTAGCTAAGTGACCTTTGATCAGATACTCTTAATTATTGGGCACCTATTATAGGGTCTGTTAAATGGGTTAATAAAATAAATAGTAGCCCTGCCTGGATCACAAAATGTTGTGCTGCTTTCTATTCTGTACAACCCTGTTATTACACCTATGCCACTGTGTTGTAGGTCTTTATTCTATGATTATCTCTGTCTTTTATGCTGTGTGTTCCTGAGGCTAGAGATATTTAGTGAAATTAGATGATGGCTAATAAAGGGCTTCAAAATGATAAATCCATGGACATTTTGGTATTACGTTGTAATACTCTGGATCTTAATGTCTGTCATCTCTTTTAGTAGGCAATCCCCTGTTGAGGTATGAGTAGAGGCTGGATAGATGTGAATGTTCAGCCTCCTACTGGGTTCTCTGATACTACCCTGCAAAAGTAGAGCACTAACTCACACTGCCTCATTGCAGATAGGTGAGGTGGAAGTTTAGCTTCCCCTTTGGTCCTGTTGACACCTTCTTGGTGAAAGTAGGACATGGACTTGCACCACCTCATTGCCTCCTATTGGAGTTATAAACTCAGTCCCTGCTGACTCACACCAGGAGAGAGGTGGGGGAAGTGGAGTGCTACCTCCTACCATCTTGTCCTACTCTTTCTGCCTATGGCTGCCAAGCAGAGTGGAGGTTCAACTCTCCTCTGGACCCTGCTGACAGTATTAGCCTAGTCAACCCCACTGGGGAATTGGAGTGCTGCTGCCTGCTTTCATGGGTAGAAGACCACTTCCTGTTCAGCTCTTCCGAAACCACAGGGGAGGGGGAGAAGCATTTTTCTGCTTGTGTCTACTAGAGTAGGGTGGGTGTGGCCAAGATTGTATTCTGTGAGCCACTTCTTTCCCAATCTTTTGGCTATGGTCAACAGACTTGTCTGGTAGTTTTTGTTTGTTTGTTTTTTCTAATCTGTGCTTATTGCAGTTCCATATTGGAGGTTTCTGCCGTGTCCTGTCCAAGACAGATGGGAGGCTGTAAGGAAATCCAAGGAACTCATTGCCATGTTCTTTGAGTCCTGAGGTCCTAGGTAGTCCGCTATCTTCTTCTCATCAGAGTCTTCCCTTGCTTCCTATGTTCGTGTTTTTTCAGTTATGAAGGGAAGGATCTGGGAGCAGTGGGGCTACTCAAACTTGGCCAGGCCAAAAGTCACATCCTTTTTCAGAATGAGAGGCTAACCTTTTTAATAATTTTGCAGTGGAACAGCAGGATCTCTGAAGGCAGTGATTTCAAACTGAAGTCTCTAAGATGTTTACTTATTTTTATTTAAAAAAGAACGGGAGGGCTGGGCATGGTGGCTCACGCCTGTAAGCCTAGCACTCTGGAGGCCAACGTGGGAGGATCACTCAAGGTCAGGAGTTTGAAACTAGCCTGAGCAAGAATCGAGACCCCGTCTCTACTAAAAATGGAAAGAAATTAATTGGCCAACTAAAAAAAAAATATATATATATATATAAAAAATTAGTCTGGCATGGTGGCACATGCCTGTAGTCCCAGCTATTCAGGAGGCTGAGGCGGAAGGATTGCTTGAGACCAGGAGTTTGAGGTTGCTGTGAGCTAGGCTGATGCCACAGCACTCTAGCCTGGGCAATAGAGTGAGACTGTGTCTCAAAAAAAAAAAAGAACAGGGGCTTTGAAGCCAAAATAAAAACTTTGAGGCCAGGCGCGGTGGCTCACGCCTGTAATCCTAGCACTCTGGAGGGCGCGAGTCAGGTGGATTGCTTGAGGTTGGGAGTTCGAAACCATCCTGAGTGAGACCTGTCTCTACTAAAATAGAAAGAATTAATTGACCAACTAAAATATATATATACAAAAATTAGCCGGGCATGGTGGCTCATGCCTGTAGTCCCAGCTACTGGGGAGGCTGAGGCAGGAGGATCGCTTGAGCCCAGGAGTTTGAGGTTGCTGTGAGCTAGGCTGACGCCACGGCACTCACTCTAGCCTGGGCAACAAAAGTGAGACTCTGTCTCAAAAAAAAAAAAAACAAAAAACTTTGAAAAACCACTGCTCTGGAACACTCTACTAAAAATTAAATTCAGAGCTTGTTTTTCCATGTCTGTCTGTTACAGCTACTCTTTGAATCATTGGGAAGTAAGGACTTTCGATTCTTTTTTGAGTCAGAGGGCTAGAGTGCTGTGGCATCAGCCTAGCTCACAGCAACCTCAAACTCCTGGGCTTAAGCAATCCTGCTGCCTTAGCCTCCCATGTAGCTGGGACTACAGGCATATGCCACCATGCCCAGCTAATTTTTTTCTATATATTTTTAGTTGGCCAATTAATTTCTTTCTATTTTAGATGGGATCTTTTTCTTGCTCAGAGCTGGTTTCGAACTGCTGCCCATGAGCGATCCTCCTGCCTCGGCCTCCCAGAGTGCTAAGATTACAGGCGTGAGCCACCACGCCCAGCCGGGACTTTCGATTTATTTCTGTTTTTTCTAGCACTTGAGTGTGCCCCAGCATGTAGTACACGTTCAGAATGTTTATGAAGGGATGGAGTCACTTATGCAGCTCCATCTTCTCTGCCCTTGTAGTTCCTTTACTACCTCCTCCATCTTAGGGACTTTTTTTCCTCTCACCAGGAATCCTAGATACAGCCATTGTTGATCGGGGAAGGAATGTGGTGTCTGGTTCTCGAGATGGGACAGCACGACTTTGGGATTGTGGGCGCTCAGCCTGCCTGGGAGTCATTGCAGACTGTGGTTCTTCCATCAATGGAGTGGCGGTGGGTGCTGCTGACAACTCCATAAACCTCGGCTCCCCTGAGCAGACGCCCAGTAAGTTGATAATGATGTGTATGCAGCGTGTTTTCTTTTCTTAACCCCCCTTCAGTGTTTGCCTAAGTTTCTCCTTTTCTTCCTCATCCTTTCCTGCACTGTAGCTGGCATTTCTGTTTTCACCACATCATTAGTATTTATCCTGTGCCTACTGTGTTTCTGTTGCTTTGGTGTCTACAAAGGGAGTATATGTCATAGTTGCTGCGTTTGTGTAAATACAATCTAATTTAGCAGATGAGACAAATGCCTATAAAGCATTTAGAGAACAATAACATTTTGGCTAAAATAAATTAGTGATTATTTTATTTTATTTTATATTTTGTAGACATGGGGTGTCACTATGTTGCCCAGGCTGGCCTTGAGCTCCTGGGCTTAAGCAATCCTCCTGCCTCAGCCTTCCAAGTAGCTGGACCATAGGCATGAGCCACTGTGCCTGGCAAATTATTGATTGCATATGTCATAGGTTTTCAAAGGAAAGGAATGTTTCTGGGAAAGGTGTCACAAAAGAAGTTGGCTTAAACCTTTGAAGGATGAGTTCAAGTTGAACAGACAAGAATGGTAAAGATAAGAGAATGGGAGCTAGCGCAGGGGTTAGGTATAGGGGCAGTTTGCATTATAGCTTGGGTGTGAAACTTAGTGTTATAAAAAGATATGTGGCTGGTTGCGGTGGCTCACACCTGTAATCCTAGCACTCTAGGAGGCCAAGGCAGAAGGATCATTTGAGCTCAGGAGTTCGAGACTAGCCTGAGCAAGAGCGAGAGACCCCATCTCTACTAAAAATAGAAAGAAATTAATTGGCCAACAAAAAATATATAGAAAAAATTAGCTGGGCATGGTGGCACATGCCTGTGGTCCCAGCTACTTGGGAGGCTGAGGCAGGAGGATTGCTTGAGCCCAGGAGTTTGAGGTTGCTGTGAGCTAGGCTGATGCCACGGCACTCTAGCCCAGGCAACAGAGTGAGACTCTGTCTCAAAAAAAAAGAAAAAAGATATGCTTAGGGGCGGGTATATACATACATAATGAGCGAGATGTGCACCGTTTGGGGGATGGTCATGCTTGAAGCTCTGACTCAAGGAGGGAGGGGGTACAAGGGCACTATACGTAACCTTAACATTTATACCCCCATAATATGCTGAAATAAAAAAAATAAGTGCTTGGCTGGGCTGGAAGGTTGAATGGTACTAGTGGAAATAGGTTGAATAGCTCTGTTGAGACACAATAGTGAAGGTCCTAATAAGGCAACTTTCTCATTTTCCCATGGTAATAATTAATAATTGTTTCTTTGTTCCATAGGACTATTTTTTCTACCATTGTCTTACTCCCTCACATTAACAAAAATAGATTTTAATTTTTAGAGCAAAATTTAGCAGAAAATACAGAGAATTTTCATATACTCTCCATCCCCCGCAAATATAGCTTCCCCCACTATCAACATCCCTCACCAGAGTGGTACGTTTGTTATAATTGATGAGCCTACACATCATTATCACCCAAAGTCCATAGTTTACATTAGGGTTCACTCTTGGTGTTGTTCATTCTATAGGTTTTGACAAATATATGATGACATAAATCTACCATTATAGTATCATATAAAATAGTTTCATTGCCCTAAAATCTTCTGTGCTCTGCCTTTTCATCCCTCCCTCTCTCCTAACCCCGGGTAACAGCTGATCTTTTTGCTGTTCTATAGTTTTACCTTTTCCAGGATTTTAGAATTGGAATCAGACAGTATGTAGTCTTTTCAGATTGGTTTCTTTCACTTAGTAATATGCATTTAAGGTTCCTCTGTGTCTTATCATGGCTTGATAACTCATTTCTTTTTAATGCTGAATAATATCCCATTCTCTGGATGTACCAGTTTATCCATTTACCTACTGAAGGACATCTTGGTTGTTTCCGAGTTTTGGCAGTTATGAATAAAGCTGCTGTAAACATCTGTGTGCAGGTTTTTGTATGGGCCTAAATTTTCAACTAATTTGGGTTAATTTTGCCCCTGACTTTTGACACATTCTAGGTGCTCACACACACTCCCACACCTCCCACCACCATCTTAAACTTCCCATATAGATGCACTATGGTCCAAAAACTGCTAAAACTTCCTGACCACTAGATGTTCCCTGGTCCCTCTTTGATTATTAATGGATTAATAGGGAGAGTCCATTTCTTAAGGCATAATACCTGTGCAATTAATGGTAAATGTGATCATTTCAGGCAGTATACGTTTTTAATAGTTATATATATTAACATAATACATATACTATACTTTAAACCTAAGATTTCATACATATTATTACTTAAAACAAGGTGAAGTTTTGAAACAATTAGTTGATAATAAAAGTAATTTAAATGAAAATATTCTTTTCTCTACTTTTTCATTTCCCATTTACTCTTCAACCCATTCTAGGATGATTTGTGCCCAACTACTTGACCGAAATGACTCTTGTCAAGATCGCCAGTGACCTTCATATTTCCTAATCCAGTCTTCTCTGTGCTTGTCTTTCTGAATTCAACAGTATTCCTCAAAACACTTTTCTTTCTTGGCTTCTGTGATATCACATTACAGTGGTTTTCCTCCTATCTCAATGGCTACTGCTTCTTACTCTCCTTTTATAAATCTCCACTCTTCTACCTTTTTTTTTTTTTTTTTGAGACAAGAGCGTCACTCTGTTGCCTGGACTGGAGGTCTGTGGCGTCAGCCTAGCTCACAGCAACCTCAAACTCCTGGGCTCAAGCAATCCTCCTGCCTCAGCCTCCTGAGTAGCTGGGACTACAAGCATGTGCCACCACACCCCTGGCTAATTTTTTCTGTATATTTTTAGTTGTCCAGCTAATTTCTTTCTATTTTTTTAGTAGAGACAGGGTCTCGCTCTTGCTCAGGCTGGTTTCGAACTCCTGAACTCAAATGACCCACCCACCTCGGCCTCCCAGAGTGTTAGGATTACAGGCGTGAGCCACCGGGCCTGGCCTCTCTTCTACTTTAAATATTAGAGGGCCTCACTATTAAATCCTGGGCCCTCAGCTCTCACTATAGTTTCTACTCAGGTGATCTCATCAGTTCCATAGCTTTAAATGTTGTATTTACACTGATGATTTCCAAAAGTACATCTAAAACATAGACTTCTCACTTGAGTTCCAGACTCTGTTTAGATGTCTAATAGATAGTTTGAACTTATTTTGTCTAATGAGGAATGTTTGACTTCCCCACTCCATCTGGTTTTCCTCATCGCAGAAAAAGGCACCACCATCTACACATTTGCTCAAGATAAAGCCTAAGATTCATTCATGGTCCACCTCCCTTTTCCTCATGTCCCTCATCAACGAAGTGTGTCATCTCTACCATCAGAGTGTTTCTCACTTTTTTTCTTCTCCCTCTCCCTCCCACTCTCTCCTTCCCTCCCTTCTGCCAACATCTTGTCATCATTTATTGCCTATACTACTGCCTGGATTGTTCTCCGATAAACCATTCTTTTCAAAGCAACCATTTTGGCCTTTATAAAATAACATAAGTCTCCTGCTTAAAATTCCTGCTTTATAAAATAACATACTCTTGGCCGGGCGTGGTGGCTCACGCCTGTAATCCTAGCACTCTGGGAGGCCGAGGTGGGTGGATTGCTCGAGGTCAGGAGTTCAAAACCAGCCTGAGCAAGAGCGAGACCCCGTCTCTGCTATAAATAGAAAGAAATTAATTGGCCAACTAATATATATAGAAAAAATTAGCCGGGCATGGTGGCACATGCCTGTAGTCCCAGCTACTCAGGAGGCTGAGGCAGTAGGATTGCTTGAGCCCAGGAGTTTGAGGTTGCTGTAAGCTGGGCTGATGCCAGGGCATTCACTCTAGCCTGGGCAACAAAGTGAGACTCTGTCTCAAAAAAAAAGAAAATAACATACTCTCCTGCTTAAAACCCTTCAGTGATCTCCCTTTACCCATATGTTAAAATCCTAACCCCTTAGAATGGCTTACAACAAGCCAACAAGCCATTACACTTTCTGACCCCTGCATTCCTCTCCAGCCTCATATCAGACCACCCTCTGCCAGGCCCACGACATTTCAGCCACAGGCCTGTGTTTGTTCTTCCAACACAGCAGACTCTCCCAGTGTCTGGACTTTGTCTTCTTGTTCCCTTAGTCTGGAATATACTTCCTGCAGCTCTTCACATGATTATTTTTTGTTCAGGTCTCTGTTGAAAAATTACTTCCACAGAGCCTTTTTAAAATAGAAGTTTAAATTTAAAGCTACCCTCCCCCATGCAGTCTCCCACCATCTACACTTTTGATCATATTTTCCTGTTTTATTTCCTTTTAGAACTCATCACTCTCTGAAAGTATATCCTACTTATTTATGTATCTGTGGTCTCTTTCCACTAAAATCCTTGAGAGTGAGGACCTTATCTGTTTGTTATCACAGTTTCCTTAGCACTTAGAATACTGCCTGCTACCGAGAAGACATCTCAATAAATATTTGTTGAGGGAATGAAAAAATTTCTTTTTTTTGAGATAGAGTCTCACTCTGTTTGCCTGGGCTAGAGTGGCATGGTGTCAGCTTAGCTCACAGCAACCTCAAACTCCTGGACTCAAGCGATCCTTCTGCCTCAGCCTCCCAAGTAGCTGGGGCTGCAGGCATGCGCCACCATCCCCAGCTAATTTTTTCTGTATATTTTTAGTTGGCCAATTAATTTCATTCTATTTTTAGTAGAGATGGGGTCTTGCTCTTGCTCAGGCTGGATTCAAACTCCTGATCTTGAGTGATCCACCTGCCTCGGCCTCCCAGAGTGCTAGGATTACTGCCGTGAGCCACTGCGCCCAGCCTGAATGAATAAATTTCATCTCCTCCCTGCTATAAGATCCTTGAGGTCAGAGACTATTGTTTTCAACACTGTACCACTGCTCCTAGTGTGGTGTCCAACAACTTAGTATTTTTAAGGTTGGGCTTATTATATTATATTATTATATTTTACATATAGTAAAAGTCATCCTTTTTAATTGCATAGTTCTGTGAGTTTTGACTAATGTGTATAAATAATACCACAGTGAGATATAGAACATAACAAATGTTTTCTTTTCAATTAACAAGTGAATCACTTGTTAATCAGGAAACAGCCATAAGTATCTGTGCTTCGTGGGCACTGCCAGCTGTTACTAACAGAGCTCATCTGTCGTGCAGGTGAAAGGGAGGTTGGAACAGAGGCGAAAATGCTGCTGTTGGCCCGGGAAGATAAGAAGCTTCAGTGCTTGGGACTACAGAGCAGGCAGCCGGCAAGTGGTTCCTATACAAACTTTTAACTCTAAGGCAACATCGGTCGTTCTGATTTGTGGAAAGCTGTTTTGGAAGCATTTCTCCTTACTCCCTGTGCTCACTTTTGAGGAGGCTACCTGGGTGAGAGGCAGTACAGTGTGATGATTTAAGAGCGTGGGATTTGGAATAAGGGCAACGTGTAACTCTCAGCTCTTTTACTTAATGACTACAACATTGGACAAGTTACTTAACCTCTCTGAGCCTGTTTCCTTATCACTAAACTGGGCATAATAGGACTTAACCTCATAGGGTTACGTGACAAGGATTAAATGCTCTACTGCTTTGTGATCTTTGTTAAGTCACTTTCCCTCTCTCGGCCTCAGTGTGCTTATATGTAAAATAATGAGGTGGTGTAGGTTTTCTTTATGGGTCCTTTTACTTTTAAGGTAATGTGAAGACAATTTGAATAAAGGTATCATGCATTCATGGCTCTTGATCAGTTAATGACCAAAACCATTAGCTGAATTTTCTTTCTTCATCCTCTCAAGTTTTGTTAGGTAAACGGTGCTCTTAACTAAATTCTGTCTTCCCCGAGATAAGATTTTTTAAATTTCTTTCTAGCTCCTGTCATCATGATTCAGACAACTTTAATGATTTGGTTTGGCCACGGGGTTTGTTATTTTCATTCCATCTTGTGTATTGTATTGTGCTGGTGTTATTTCCCCTTTCAGAGTTTGTTTCAGGAACATCACTGTTTTTGATAATAATGCCTTTGCCCTTGCATTGCCATGCTGGCTTTTACTTCCAAAGGGAAATAAGGAAGTTTTGTTTGTTTTGTTTTTTCTTTTTAGAACTTTGAGGGAGAAATGATCATCGGTTTGAGCTAGGAGTAAGGAATAAATGAAAATCTAAGCTGGGTGCAGTGGCTTATGCTTGTAATCTCAACAACTGGGGATGCTGAGGTGGGAGGATCACTTAAGGCCCTGGGTTCAAGACCAGCTTGGGCAACATAGGGAGATCCCATATTGAAAAAGAAAATCTAATAATTTCTTTTTTCAGATGTATGGGGAGAATAAAAGAGAGATCTTTGTTAAGTCACTTTCCCTCTCTCGGCTCAGTGTGCTTATATGTAAAATAATGAGGTGGTGTAGGTTTTCTTTATGGGTCCTTTTACTTTTAAGGTAATGTGAAGTCAATTTGAATAAAGGTATCATGCATTCATGGCTCTTGATCAGTTAATGACCAAAACCATTAGCTGAATTTTCTCTTCTTCATCCTCTCAAGTTTTGTTAGGTAAACGGTGCTCTTAACTAAATTCTGTCTTCCCCGAGATAAGATTTTTAAATTTCTTTCTAGCTCCTGTCATCATGATTCAGACAACTTTAATGATTTGGTTTGGCCACGGGTTTGTTATTTTCATTCCATCTTGTGTATTGTATTGTGCTGGTGTTATTTCCCCTTTCAGAGTTTGTTTCAGGAACATCACTGTTTTGATAATAATGCCTTTGCCCTTGCATTGCCATGCTGGCTTTTACTTCCAAAGGGAAATAAGGAAGTTTTGTTTGTTTTGTTTTTTTTTTAGAACTTTGAGGGAGAAATGATCATCGGTTTGAGCTAGGAGTAAGGAATAAATGAAAATCTAAGCTGGGTGCAGTGGCTTATGCTTGTAATCCCAACAACTGGGGATGCTGAGGTGGGAGGATCACTTAAGGCCCTGGTTCAAGACCAGCTTGGGCAACATAGGGAGATCCCATATTGAAAAAGAAAATCTAATAATTTCTTTTTTCAGATGTATGGGGAGAATTATGATTCTTTACATTGCCACTTTATTTAAGCTTGTTTCTTTTTTTTTTTTTTTTGAGACAGAGTCTCGCTTTGTTGCCTAGGCTAGAGTGAGTGCCGTGGCGTCAGCCTAGCTCACAGCAACCTCAAACTCCTGGGCTCAAGCAATCCTTCTGCCTCAGCCGCCCGAGTAGCTGGGACTACGCAGGATGTGCCACCATGCCCGGCTAATTTTTTTTTTTATAATATTAGTTGGCCAATTAATTTCTTTCTATTTATAGTAGAGACGGGGTCTCGCTCTTGCTCAGGCTGGTTTCGAACTCCTGACCCTCGAGCAATCCACCCACCTCGGCCTCCAGAGTGCTAGGATTACAGGCGTGAGCCACCGCGCCCCGGCCTTAAGCTTGTTTCTTTCCAAAAAGTACCACCTTCAAAAGGTTGCTGGAAGTTTTTTTTTTGAGACAGAGTCTCACTCTGTTGCCCAGGCTAGAGTGCCGTGGCACCAGCCTAGCTCACAGCAACCTCAAACTCCTGGGCTCAAGCGATCCTCCTGCCTCAGCCTCCCAAGTAGCTGGGACTACAAACATGCACCACAATGCCTGGCTAATTTTTTCTGTATATTTTAGTTGGCCAATTAATTTTTTCTATTTTTAGTAAAGACTGGGTCTCACTCTTGCTCAGGCTGGTCTCGAACTCCTGAGCTCAAACGATCTGCCTGCCACAGCCTCCCAGAGTGCTAGGATTATAGCG